CACGGAACACCTGTGAAGGTTGATTGACATCAGTTATCAGAACTACGCAGAAGTGATCGTCAACTCCTGCAACATAGTGGAACAGTGTAGACGGGAAATTACATGTTCAGTGCCAGGGAGCATTTGTGCAAACATAAATAATGAACAACAAGGAAACACAAATGCTTCAATTGAGCAAAAGCTGACGTTTCAGGCAGAGCCACGACAATAGCTGTTTGGGCCGGCTTGCTTTCGTTGTTGTATTTCACTAAGCTGATCTTGGTGAGGAGCCAATTAATACTTTGTGAACTCGTCTACAACGGCATCCATCTGACCAGGCAGACCTTCCATTAGGCAGGATACCAGGTACGATGCTCCCAGCCGCTATCACTCGGCCTCGACCACCACGACAACGCGAATTAAGAAAATAAAAAAACAACTGCGCAAATTAGGAGAGAACATGACGTTACAATATTGCTCCATCAACGCGCGCGCAAGCCGTGCGCGCAAGCAGCCTGCTCCTGCTTCGAGCGACGAGCTTCCTCGCATGGCTCCTGCCGAGACAACGAAAGACGAAAGTGGCTGCGCTGCGACGGAACTTCCAGTACTCCTATTTCCCCCCTCTCTCCATCACACTCCCCCCCCCCCCCCCCCCCCCCCCCGCCGAGAGCCAGCGACCAAAGCGCCCAGTGCGCATACACAATTGGCCCCCCTCCTCCCCCCCCCCCCCCCCCTCCCAATCTGCACTCACGAGTCACAACGCTTAGAATAACAGAGCGCACCACCGGCGCAGCGTCGAAGCTTGGGTTGTTCTGGGCGAGGGTTAAGCAAATCGGAGTAGAATGCGCACCCTCGCAGCGCCCTGCTCTCCAACCCGCAGTTTTATCAGTTTCAAGAGGCTTCCAGGAGGCGCCGCATGTACCGACGGCCACGCGCTCCGCTGTTCGCATTTCATTTGAACCCGATAGTACGTAAATTAACTGAAAAATAATAAGCATGTTGTTCAGTTTCTGAACAAATGATAATGGACGTTTAATTGTAGATTGAAACTGGACATTTTCCTTTGAACATGTTCTTGGTTTCTGCCTCTCTCCTTTTTTTCTTTTTTTTTTTGACATATGCGTAATTGTAATATATATATATATATATATATATATATATATATATATATATATTCGGGACATAAAATATTTAGGGTTCATATGCAACCAATATTAAAATCGGGTCAAAGGTATTAAGGTACCCTTCTCATTGAACAGGTTTCTTTTTTTTTTTAAGATTTGATCATTGAAATTATTTGGGCTTTGACAACCCAGCATATCAGCATGCCTAACGTACGATGCCAAGGGGCCAATTTCAAATTCTATTTTTGGAAAGTGCGTGCGACAGGAGTACAAATATCTCTTTTGACATTTGTCTTCAATAATTGATACAATATTTTTTATAAACCAATTGTGAAAATGTCTTTTCATGCACGTTGCCTTTATTTTCACCGACACCACGCGATGAAAAAGTGTTGCCTCTTTGCTTTATCTTCCGACTTTTCGCTTCACATCGATCTTCTAATAAGGAACTTACACTGCAGTCTAAGGGAAAGAATTCTGCATCGCAACGAGACCAACTACATCATCCCTTGTACTAACTACAATTTTCCTCTTTCCTCCATAGAACAGTCACGATTTCGCATCCTCTCATTTTACGCCCACTGCAACTGGTACCTACAACAACAAAAATGGAATAATATCCTCCGGTTAATTCTTTTTTTTTTTTCCAACAAGTGGCTGCCGACGAAGACTTGTTTATGACCACTTACCTTGTAATCACGGTCGCTGCAAATGCTGATACATACAGATGCCCCCAGGCCGCCTGACGTCAATTGAGCTTCCTGTTTCTTGCCCTTTGGCTCGACTTACCAAACCTATGCCTACAAAAACCTCTAACGACGAGCGAGAAACCGCAGCATTCTCGTGACAACATCTCAAAACCTACGACATCCTAATTTTCGGAGGATCCCTCGTGTCATCTCAAGGACCAATCAGAACGAAGACGAGCGACTGGGGCGGCGCTTAAAGCACGCGTGCAGCGTTTTCCAACTTCGCCACCGACCGCGGCAGATGAGCCAGTTTCAGGGCATTCGTACCATCCCATCGAAATCTAACAAGAAAAGTATCCCCAAGAACTTCCGTTGTTTCGACGCGTGAAGGCTGGTTACGTTCACGAATGGCCATGAGGTTCCCATGGTGCCAGCGGGGCGCGGACTGCAAGATAGTAAATGCGGCGGTCTGGTTGTACTTACGACGGCCCCGGAGGCTGTCGCCCGGTGCTGCGACACATGGCAGCTTGCTTACCCGTGACTTTCAACGAGCGCCTTAAATCAGGCTGATGGCGTCGCGACGACGCGTGGTCACGCTTTTCCCCGAGTGAATTCGTGGCCGGCGTTTGCCGAGATGTCGTCGACACGGTTTGAGCAAGCTCATAGTTGCCCAAAAGTGAGTGGCGAAGATACGCATCCTCGAAACGGTTGTTGTGGTGCATGTCAGGATACGTTGATTGTATTTTGTGACAGCCGCAATTTATTCTAAGTTCATTTATTTTATTTTTGCACATCAACGTTAGAGCCTCGACTTGACATGGCGTCAGAACCCAGTAGCATTGAATAAAATATTGCCCACTTGAATTGGCGTGATTCGCGAAGGATAATTGTTTCTATTTGTCGTTGGGTACCAAATTGGTTCAGCACGACGCGCGAAAATTTTAGCATCGGGCCTCTACAGTTTTTTATATGTAAACAGCACCAACTAAGACGAAATTGTTTAATATTGCATAATCTTATTTTATTTTAGTTGCCATTTTCATTTACATGCTTATTTTATGCACCTCCCAAGAAACCTGAAAGCAGGCGTCTACTCCTGTCAAAAATGTGGCGCAGACTAAATTATGCCGTCTCTCACATCACACAAGCATCACAACTTAAACTTAAATATTTTTATTTTTGCATTCGGCGACGGGCGTATTTTTGTACTTCTTTCTACTTTAAGCCCGGACGCAGCCGACGGTAGCAGCTGATGAGACCATTCAAACAGTGTCAACAGCGCAATTTGCTGGGCCTTCTCGGTACATGATAGGTTCAGCGATGATAGAACACGTACACAAACATGGCGATCCCCATGGTGGAGCGTTTTTGAAGTTTTATGATGGGTTCCATCAGCTCGTAGCGTCGCCTGCGCCCACAGTTAAGGCGAAACGACTTTTATTTCAAATTTCCTTCACTTTCAAAGCATTTTACCGCAGTACCAAACCGTAGCGTATAAACCGAAAATTCGCTGAAACTGAATTTATGCAATAAAAACTTAAAATATAATTGTAAGCATCATGATAAAGAGAAAAAAAACTTTCAAGCTTATTTAAGCGCTGAGGCTTCAATACCATGAGACATGGGAAGCCGAAACGACCTTTCCACTTTTATATTTCATTTCGTTTTTTCATTAATCGTGTTCGCGCAGAAACGAGAGGACTGTGCATTCTCTTGAGCAACTGGTTCACACTTTGTAAACATCACATGGGCGAGTAAAACAATCACAAAAAAAAACCTTAAGCTTAGTGGAAGGTATGGAAGGAAGTAACTCTAAATCCCCTTCGTCTGAAATGAGGTTTCTTGAACCTTCACCAGCGAGGCAAGCCAGGGTATAGGTAAAGTATTCCGGACATTATCTGTGAAAACATGCATCGGGTTCGACCACGATTAAATATGGAGTTATACCAACTCTTTGCCTTTTGTTCCCGATTTGTATAAAACTTCACGACGTGCATACCTGTATGCGAGATGAAGACGCTAAATACGTTAAACTTTTGTTTTTCCTTGACTTGGCAACGAGCGAACGCTATGCCACTTGAACCAATCAGAGTGACGAAGCGAAGCATGTGACAGTTCTCCGGTGGAGGGAAGCAATCTGACGATACTTTGTCATGTGCCTCGGCCTATGCGGTGATTGGCTCACCGGGGTAATAACCTAAGCCATTTACCAAGTTACGAGGAAACAAACGATCACATTGGTGCCGCTGTCCCCGCGGAGGAGCCCCTTTTTTTTCTTTTCTTTTTCTCATCCGAGCCAAAAAAAAATTAAATTATTTAAAAAAAGCTTGCAAACTTACATAAGAGCTCATCCCAATTAAAAAAAAAATTATTGAGCAAACCCAAGAGAAATAAACGAAAACCTCCGATTGCTTTCCTGAGTAAACCGATTGTTTTCGAATGATCTAGTGCTCTGCGAAAAGCACCCTTCGATTGCTCTCCCTAAAACAAATCAACAAACTTCGAGAGTGTCCCCCATTGCGCAACTTACGACTTATAAACGAGTAAGAAAAATAAAATTCCAAGCAAAATGTAGAAGCCCTCCCTCCCCCCCCCCCCCCCCCCCGACTTCTTACAGTATTAGGTGTCGTTCTCCGAATAAATTATTAGTTCGCAATCCAAATAACGTGTTCCGCAACCATTTACAACAAAACAATTCACTATCCATAGGCTCGTGCCTATAATAAAATGTGCCTGCAATTTTTGCATACCAAATCGCTTGTACGTGTTTGCACCATTATTTATTTAACAAAAAAAAAATATTAGGGGTGTCCGAACACCGGTTTGATTCGAATAGCACAGCGCCGTTCTCAACCTTCGCAGTGGAAAAGAAAGCCACAACAATCGCTTTTCTCGAGAGTGTTAAAGCTAGAGATGACACTGCATGACAATGCGCTATTCGATTTGAAGCGATATTCGCACTCTCTTTACTATTTTCTCACCCCTACGAAACATATTTTCGGCACCGTCGATTCCCGATATCTCCCAAGTGCTTTGCGAAAAAGTAAACGCACTAAATTTCTTCAGAGTGAAGTCACGTAGTAAGCCATCGCCCGTGAACCATGGGCGATGGTTGCCCGCCCGTGGTTCATGCCAAGGTGCATGCCAAAGTGCCTGACAACGTCGTACGAGACATCTATAAGCCGATGTAAAAGAACACTTCTCAACATTTGTGAGAGTTTCATCTTTTTTTTTCACAAAAAAGCTTTATTCTTTTCACATATTTATTGCACAACTTTTCGTTATAATGGAATGATATCGAGATGTACAGTGGTCTACATTTCTTGTGTACATGGTTGCGTCCGGCAGACTACCATCATCATGAAATATGTTGGGCTAAAAACGAGAATGATGAAAATATAGGAGCTAAATAAAAACAACTGATGGTAAAGTAAAATGCAAACCATTATATAAAAAAGATGCTCAATAATACAGCCAGTGAGGCTTGCGCTAAAAAGCAACAATATTTTCAGTTTGTTCAGTGAAATATATTACACTAGACAAGAATATAATACAGAAGTCATCGGCGTAACAGACTGAGCATTAAATTGTGCTCGTCGTACATTTCACAAAAGTGCACAAGAGGACGAGGGGATAGCACTCAACTCTAAACGTAAACATAAGAAAATCGCATGTCTCAGTATTGGCATGCACCGTGAGTGTTTACAACTTTGTAGATGCTGAAGTACTGTGCTGTAGAATTCTCCGGAACAGAAAACGAAAAACCGATCTGAAAAAGAAAAATCAAAATTACATTCAGCGAAAGTATTAAGGGCTGGATATAAAATTGGAAAGTTACCGATTTTAAATTTTCTCAGGAAACGATGCATGATATAAAATTCGATTCCTCCTCTTTTTAAGGCATTATCTTCAAACAACAAAGCAAATAATTTATACCTCAAGTGGGCCCAGAACACGGGAGACGATTTTCGCTCAGTAGAGAACCGGAATCTGTTTTGACCGACTTATCCTGGACACTTGTCACCCAAAACGTACCAACATGGTGATGGCAACCAAAAACGAAAAAAATCTTACGTTCGTGATTATACAGCGTAAAGTCGGTCTGCCTTTGAGGTGCGGCGACACTGGTTTACTGTCCACTTCAAATAAATTATTTATGCGTTCAAAGTCGATGTGTCGTCGTTTCCGTCCCTGTGCTCATCCTTTCAGTAGAAGTGTAATACATAAAGGTTTAGCTATTTCTTCGCGGTACTAGCAAGACGCAGGTTACCTTACCCAAAACTTGTTTTGCTTGAACACCCTTATCACAATGGGTGTGTCAAGTATAATTAGAGCAGTGCCTAAATAAGTATGACGTCCTTATTAATTTGTTATCAACCTTGGGAACGAAACTTAAAATCATGACACAACGTTGTTTAGATAAATATTGAAATGGCGCAGAATACATAATCTAAGTAAGGATAAAAACAACACCAAGACCTGACCGCTGGCACTAGATAAACGTACAGTGTACTCAACAGTTATATATAACGCGGAAGCGGTGGCCGGAGAGGCTGCATCCGTCATCTAACGGCTCACTCTGGCAGCTTATGCCGCCGTTGTTTTCAACTCGGCGACAAAAAGAAAAAAAAAATGTCGCTCTTTGATTTTTTTTTTTTTTTTAAAGAGGGTGTTCCTTATCAAAGACACTGCAAGGACAGAGACACTGCAAGGACACCGAGATATCGTAGCCCCGCATGGTAAATGCGTAGGTGCGACTAAACAGAGTGGCAAAAGCAACAAAACAAAGAAGTAAAAATTTAAAGCGTGGGTGAAAGAAAAAAAAACGAAGAACCGAGGAGGTCATGCGATAATTGTATCGGGGAGTGGCGACAATCGTAAGAAGAGCCTCTTTATTCTTTGGCGCATCATTGATTTGGTCGCTAGACAGCTCTGATACCAGTTTCGGCTACCGCTCCCGCGTTAAATTGAACAGTTGAGCACGCTCTACACTGAAATGAAATATTCTCGTGAGAAAAAGAAAACGTCAGAAATAAATGTAAAATACGGTCACGCGGAAGGCTCGCAAAGAGTTTGGGCATTGATTATGAATATACGTGCTTCCCATTACAATGTACCAAAGAGGACGCTGCATCCCAGCCACTTCAATGCTGTGAAAGTATCACTTGACCACTCGACTCGAGCATCACTGCGCCCCCTCTCGAGGTCACGTGGCGCAGTGTTGCAGGCGTTACCGTAAAAGAATAACGAAATACGTTACTCGTTACTTGCAAATAAAAGGAACGCGTTACCGTTACAGTTACCGTTAAAGAATAACGCAAGTTACTTTTACGTTACTTTTTTTATTATTCTGAATTAACACATTTTACTCTTTCAACCGTACAAATATGCATAAGCGCGATATTCCAAGAAATATTATGTCCATCAAGAAACTGAACATAATTACCTTATCTTTTTTACGGTTCTACCTAAACACCGAAGAGAAAAAACGCAAAGAAAAACAAAAAAGCTTACACATTTATATAACTTGGCGCTTAGAAATACAAAGAAAAAGAATTGAAAAGTAATATTTTTAAGCCTCGGAAAGAAGATGAGTAACGTAATTTTACACGTTACTCGGAACAAGTAACGTAAGTGCGTTACCCGTTACGATTTTGAAAATGTAACGAGTACGTTACAACGTCACCGAAAATAGTAACGTGGTACCGGTAACGCCGTTACTTGTGACGCGCTACCGCCAACACTGCGTGGCAGTTATACGGTATTGGACTGACTTCGACGGCTCGCGTCATCTGCGGTACATCTTGGGGAGCATAAGGTTTCAAAGAAGCGCTTATTACAGCAGCCTAAGCTTGAACTTGCTTGAACTTACTTGAACGGGAAGGCTGATGTCCATGGAGAAACCGTAAGTCTGGTGTCCGGAAACTCCACGGCCCATCTCCGCGTCCACTTGAAACAGAGGCAGGGCGGGCGACGTGAGGAACAGTCGAAGGGTGCTGTTGGAGCGCTCGCCGGCCATGTTGGGTCCCTTGCTGTACTCGATCGTCATGCAGAACGGCGTTGTCCCGCCCTTGATTAACCGGCTGAAGGTAACCTCTGCACGCTGTCCGCCTTCCACAACCGTCTCCAGGAAGCCAGCTGCGGGGTCGGTGGAAAAACTGATGTTAACGTCGAAATCGCTGTAAGTGTGCACACCTACATTGAACCAACAAGACAAGGGTGCCTTCATGTGCGCTTTGCTTAGGGTGATGTCATCTGACGAATTTTATTCGCGACCATTATTTTTCGTTTTGTTCTGGAGCCATTGAAAGAGTGTCTCCTTACATGAGCTCTCTCGGCATCGTCAGTGCTACGCCGGCATCTTGTTAACGATTTCTTCCTATGTTCTGTGTGAGCGCATACCGTTCGCGTCCGGTACTGCAAAAATTGGAATCACCCTAAACAGAATGTCAATAAAAAATTAACCAATTTTCACGCATGCGACGGATGCGTGAAGCCGCTGTAACTGTAGTTCACACGAAGCAGGCGCCAGTGCACGAGACAGCTCTTGCTGTCTCGTGCTGTACTCGCGCAGACCCGCAACGGAGTTGTCGCTCGCACAGAAAGATTACAGTTCCCACGATGCATGGCGGCAGCAGTGGCGCAACGAAAATGGCTGGTTAGATCGGCCTATCGGGTTTTCTTTGTTAAAACACATTCACTTCCGGTTAGCTTCGCTCGAGATCTTGGAAAAGTTGAGTAGCACAGTCTATTGCCTGTAAACAAAATAATGATACACTTAATTTATCAAGAAAAGTCACGAAAGCATAACAATGATATAGTAGGATGCGAAAGCCCCTCTGCGATTCCGTCCCGTTTAAACTGTCACAATCTTTGTCTGAAAGAATATGCGAGTAAACGAATATAAATCTGGAAACAAAGCGAGTTTCAGTTCTTCATCTGAGTCAAGTTTCTCAGCCATGATTCAGTTTTCGTTGCCGAGCAATGAGGTAAACTGTCCCAGATCTCACGAAACCGCTGCATTGCTATCTCCGGCACACTTCTCTGCGTAAGCTAACTGTTGGGAGGGTTACAGTCTCAGTTCCTCTTAAACATTTAAAAAAGCAGAATTTTATAAAATATCTTTGGCGTACACCTAAACGAATATTGCTTGCTTAGGTTCACTTACACGAAAAAAGCGTCCTGTGTTTAAAAGCCTGTGGTGGGTCATCCGTGATCTTGCATGACTCCTGGGTCTCGTTGTTGAAGAGGCAGGCCCATATCAAGCCGTTTCTTGACACCGCTGTACTCGGGCCGTCGGGAGTTGTTGGCTCTGCATAACAGGATTGTCATGGTCCGTTTAACAGAAGCACCCCCAGAAAACGCACAAAAAGGCATTTGTTGGGATCTCGTAGATTAGCTTATTTTTATAGTCTATTTTCGAGCCTAAGTTGAAAATAATGTCTTTTTTATTATATTTTGTTACGACAGTACATTCGAAAATATACATTCTTGTTCGCTCATTCATCCCAGCTGATACGCGAGATTAAAACTTTATTCGCTGGGTCACTGCTAGATTATTTCAACAACACGATTCTAAAGCTCCACGCTCGAAAATCTACATATGCGCCTAGGTGTGAAACAGTGCAGGCTGGGATTTTCATTATAGTTTAGGCGATCAGCAAATAAAACTAAAATACATCAAACCAATTAGCTAAGTTACTTCTTGCCTTCTTTGGATTTGATACGGCCGATTCGTTGCAATGATTGTAAAGACCAGATGTGAACCAATTTAGCTAAATTATAATATCGCTGTGTGGTATATGCAGAAAGTTGCAAGAGCCAGCGGTATCATCTTCGTTACTTATCCAGTGTGGAAGACAAGATTACCCTCAGCGCTCTTAAATTCCGTCCTTTATTTTCACGTCCCTTGTAATTTTACGTCGTAGGTTGTTTGAAAAACAGTACAGTGTGACGTCACTTCTCACTAGGACCATTCCTATCAAATAAGACATTGTTGAAGGTAAAGCTACAAGACGGACAAAACGATTGAACGTCGATTCACTATTTAACGAATGTTTCACAGGAAACGCCTGGTTTTACGCTGTAGATTTTTTATGTAGGACTTGTTTAACGCCAATTTATAGTTAGTTAAGCATAGAGCTTCGTTTTGTGCTGAAATAACCTTCGCCTTTTTGCTAGCCAACATTCCAACGTTAACGTAAACGGTAAAACCGACACGAAACATCTCCTTCAAACATGTTTAGGCGAACTCAGTCGGTGAGACGACTGATCTTTGCAAATTGTCTAATTTAACTTCCCTCAACTTTCCTCAACAAAAAAAAAAAGAAGGATGTCCCATGACACGGCGTAAAACGTATGTCGACAGGAAACAAAAGACTCACTGCATAAGCTTTTGAATCTACTTTCGATGCCTTGTTCGTCGCACGAGCCGCCGCAACAAGTTCCCTCGGGGCACTGAGAGCACGCTTCTCCGTCCTCGTACATGTCGCCACCAATAAAGTTGCCCCTGCAAAGGAGTGAATGACAGAATTAATATAAAAAAGACAAAAGAAAAAAAACACACGAAAGAATCACGTAATTTTGGGTTACTAACAAATCACTGAATTTCGTGAATTAGCGCAACAGGTTCTTTGAGGTCTCATGAGTATTAATCAAAAATACGCTCAAACGAAGGTAGCAGAGGGCAGTAGAAAGAACACGTAAGACAATCTCAATGGGCATCGGTATTATGCGAAAGTCGGGACCTCAGAAACTGTCTGCTTACCCAGGTCCATAGTCGCAGGTGTAGAGGAGGTCGTACACGAAAGGGTGGTCCTTGGACGGATACCTGGCGTAGCCGCAGCCGATTTTCCACGTTGTCGCCCACACCATCTAAAAGGAGCGCAGTTATTCTTAGACCAACGCACATCCAATTCCGCTACATTTCATTTTCAGCGGTTCCAGATGAAAACCAAAAAAATTCAAACTTGTCTCAAAGAAATTAATTTAGGATCCGTGACATTGTGTGAGAGCGCCGACAGTCACCGACTACCGCAGGCACCCTTGAGCCATACTTAGTTGAGCTGCTTGCGGTACCGTACGCCCCTCCTTGTGGCACCAAGTAAAGGCGTCGGATTGCGGATGGCACGGTCCGGGGTTCGATTCCCCGCCGCGCCGCTCGGTAAATCTCCCTAATTATGATTAAGTACGCCTTTAGATGCTTTGTATCCTTATGCATCGCTTATTATGGGCTATGTGCGCTTTATCTTGCTCTTAATTACGTGCCACGGCTTTTTGTTACGGCCGAGCTTAACGCTTTTCCCGTGAAATGTAGCCCATAAACACGTTCCGTGTTAAAGCGTTCCCGAGGGGCACATTACCTGCGTGAAGTGTCCTGTGACCACGTCGAACTGGAAGGGCGAGCGAGTGTTGTTGGGAAACAGGGTCACCTCGTCGTACCAGCGCCGAATGCAGCTCTCCCAGTCCGGCTGGGGGTTGTCCCGTGTAGTGCGGTCCAGGCACAAGTTCTGTCCCACGTCCGAGAACTTTTCTGTTCGATTAGAGTAAACCGGCATCTTTCGTCAAAACAATAAATGACATGCATCAATGTGACAATGGTGGCGAACATCCGTTTACTGTGGCAGATGTAGCAAATAAAACATTCATTTTTTTGTTGTTGTTGTTTTGCGTCACCTAAATAAACGTCAAGGGACAAACAGAACCGTCCTCTCAAAGTTCTTGTATTGCTAGGATTGAGGATAATTAAAATTAATTAATTTCAATTACAGCATTGCATCACACAACGGGCAGTTCACGTTTATTTCATGCATTCCTACGACAGCTTTTCACACTGTCGGAGACCGCCATCGTGATTTTTCTCAAATATTATAGAATTTTCTGATTTCAGTAATGTTATCGCTTCGATTTTTTTTTTTTTCTTCCCGCCAACTTTTGAGTTAACATATGGAAATCAATAATACGTTTAACTGCTTTAGTAATTATTTTAACCGCAGGTTTTTAAACTCCCCGAACTTGTCATTAAAAAAATCATACACACTTTAGGCAGGTTCGAATTTTTTTTAATTCGTAAAACAAACAGCCGCAAGTTTGTTGTTGCTGTTGTTGTTTTTATGAAACAGCTAGCACGTGTCGGTAAAGCTAAAATTAATTTGGAGATTCGTGTGCCAGTGCTTTATCCTTTTTGGGCACATTGTTTTTATGAAACATCAAATTATATATGACATAAAAGTGAAACCTTTTGCATTAAGTGCAAGCTACACGCATATGAGGTATAAATAAAAATGGCATTCATTTCATTCAAAAACTCGAATTAAATTAGTCTCTTCGTAATTCATAATGTAGTCAATCACTGCGCCAACGCATGGAATACAGTTATGCACTGGACTACTCTAGGGATTATTTTGCTTAATTGGCACTAAGAAGACATTAAAAGTTATATGTACTTAACAGCGATGCTTTTTATTTATTAGTTCAATTTTAATAGCCCTAACTGTACTGGAAGCGTCATATCTTAGGATGCAATGTTTGGCATATTAAAAAAAGAAAACTTATTGTGTACCAAACACACTCTCAACTCCATGCATAGATGCATACACTTTGGTGTATTTAATAACTCCTCGTATATTTCAACCATACGCTTCCAAACCTCCCAACTAACAACAACAAAAAAAAGTCTTAAACCGTCTCATTTCTGGCTCGTGTTCGGCGATGAAATTTCGCTCTTGCTTCTCAGAAACGTGTCCATGCCGTTAATGAAACTGTTAAAAGGGCCAAATGCTAACCCGTGAAACCCAAGCTAAGATGTAAATCTTCGTCGGCTTCCATGCAAATTTTGTTAGGTGAAGGAACATAACAGCCGCACTCTTTTTGATCCTTTCTGCGGCTAAAGATCTTTGTCTGTTCGGAACACCTCAGCAACGGTTAGTAGTATGTTCCAGCACAACAGAATTACGGACTTGTCAAGGGAGCATCACGAACGCCCATGGCCAGATAACACCCATTCCAAGAACACGACTGAAAAACCCTGCAGCAGGTGTCTCCTTTCCCGTATTTCTTTTTGTATATTTTCCAAGCTCGCCCACAACGACCAGATCGTATAATTTTCGGAAACTACGTGCATCTGCTGAAAACTACTATCTTCGCCACTCTTCTCTTTATTTATTTGTACCTCTCGCAAAAGCCGTTCAAGTTGCGTGTTTCTCTTTCGTTTATTTCCGCCCCAACTAATAGTGAAAGCAGAATAGTTCAGACGCTGGATCAAGCGTTAAAAAATGTGATCATGTGTAAACGTTTAAAATTTTTTTGCGGTATTCTGAACAGAATATTTGTAATAAGACCTATTCGGTGTATCAGACTCATCTTGAGCTCTGTTTCGGCGTTACACGGATAGCATAAAGCAACGGCCCCAGTGAGTCAATGACAGAGTCTAAGCAAGGCGCCTGACATACCCCGCAAGAGTGTACTCCGGTTGTGCTTTTACGCGAGCTTCGCCCTGGAACTTTCATTACCTCACTGAGGACGGCCCAGGGAGCATGTTAGAGAAACGAGTCACTTGGTATAAGCTTGGCAATCCTAGGGACCTCACTTGGTCCTAATGCGGTTTTGCTCCATAGCGTATAGTTAATTCAAGAGTACTTTTCTTTTTGGCGTTTCTATGGCCTTTCTGTGGCTCGCCACGTAATTGCCAAAGTTCCAGACTCGAGCCAAAGATGCCGCATATGCACCGAAGCACCAGCAGTTAAGCCTAAATCTGGCACTTGTTCGATGATTTCGGCCCAAAGATGCCAGATGACAACCGCGTTACCCGCCGTGAAACTAAACTTTGGCATTTGTTTGGCGGATCAGGGCGAAGATAGCCAGACTCTGGCCAAAGAAGGTCAAGTTTGGCTCAAATTCGGCTTCTTCTAGCCTTTTGAAACCCTAAATTTCAAAAAAAAAAAATTTGGCCCAAAACGTTTTTGTTAACTGGGGATTGTGCGGTTAATTAAAAATACGGGTCGAAGTCTGCCGAATACACGCGGGGACGTGTTTATACATCCAAATATATTCATTCCTGTGTGTTCACTGCTGTGTACTCATTTCTGTGTATTTATTTCTGAGTACTCACTCATGTGTATTCATTCATCTGTATTCATTCCTGAGCATTCATTCCGGAGCATTTATTCCTGAGTATTCATTCATGAGTATTAAATCCTGTGTATACATTTCAGTGTATACATTTCAGTGTATACATGTCAGTGTATAGAGTTCAGAGTACACATTTCAGTGTTTACATTCCAGTGCATACATTTTAGTTATTGCATTCCAGTGCATACATTAAAAGAAAAGGTTATGGTCTGCTACGGTAGCAAAAACGTTTCCTCATTAGTTTATAAACTTGGGAAGCTTCTAGATCTACTTCACCATGTCATTCACGAAGCATTAAGATATGTCCAGCTTCCATTCTTCTTTTCTTTTCTTTTGGTTCTGCCCGGAGGGTTGGGAAAGCATAACCGCAGCAAAGGTCCCAATAATAATATTGCACTGATATAGAACTGGCAGTTTCCGCTCTCCTTATAAAAAACCATAATGCCCGACAGCGAACGACACGAAACTGTAAAAATACGTGAGAGAAAACTTCAATAAAGTCTTTACACAGGCTTACTCTTTCCTTTGTGCTTTTACGATTTACGTTTTATTTGCCTTTTTTTCGCGTGCACGGTAGGTTCAAATCCCGCTAGCGAAGGAATTTCAAAAACTGTCCACTACGCTGCACAACGGCCATAGCGTAAAATACATCGCGTTAATATTTTGATCTTACTAGCATCGATCCTTCCCGGTATGTGCTTGTACTCCGTTCACCCCTAAGCTGACAATGCGGTAGGAGCTACGCTCCCACCGGACCAATCAAACACCTCCCCTTCGTCACATGACTTCGCTCTTCGCGTGGGGTCATGGGCAGTATCGCGATCGAGTGGAGAAAGATGGGCGTGTGATTTGTACAATAAGCACGTAGCTTCCACCGCACCGTCAATGTCGTGAATTGAGCACAGTGTTCGCACGTATACTCGTCGAGCGTCGGACGGGCAAAATCGAGCGGTGAAGCTTACCCATTCGCCTGCACGCAGGGCAGTCGTGCTCGAATTCGCACTGGCTAGCATGGGCCTGTGCCACCCTCGCCAAGTCATCGTCCCACTCCTGGGGAAAAAAACATGAGACAAATATTGCAGTTTAACGATAATACAGTTGTGGCGTATGCGAGCTGGTGTTAAGTTTACCGCTTTCTTGAAACACCCGAGTCTGGATAGAGAACTTGGAAGCTATCAAAGTGCAAGAAGCAGAGAAAAGACTACATAAATCAACGTCTCAAATTCAGTTGAGTTGAGCTTGAGGCATTGGCTTCCTCGTCATTCTTTCTCTATTTATTCTACTTTGGTTGCTTCAAGTTTCTCCACCCAGTCTCAGGTATTTATAAAGAAAATTGTAAAATTGGAGTTTAAAGCAGTGTAGGAATAACCAGTGGAGTGGGACCTCGTGTAAATGAACTGGCATTTCAAAGCGTGAACTAAAAAGGGAGTATCGTTCCAAGTAGAAGCTGAAAGCGCAAGAGGCATTCAGAGGAACCCATAATTCCGCACCTTAGTAGTCACAAATCACTCGCAGTAATCCGCGACATTATACATTGGGGAAATGAGAAGTGGAATCGTCGTAACGTCACGAACATCCCAGTGACGCGGGGTCCAGACACACGACAACCTGCCGCATGTTCCGCAGGAATACAGTGGCATTCGTGCGGATTATTCAATATTCCGCAACAATATTCATTCTCGAGGCACGGTGGCGGATATATGCCATGCGGCATCTGAATTTACCTGCCCCGCTCTTCAACAACAATTAAATGTTGCTGAACAACAATTAATTCCTGTAAAAAGATGCCACTACTCGGTATCTGATGCACGTACGGCTATTCCCACGTTCTGAGTCAGAGCTCCTGTATGCTCCGTTCCAATTGTTTACAAATACACAGTCTGAAGCCTGCAATCTTCACAGCACGGCATGCAGCGAGGCGCTGGATGCCGTGCTGCCGATGGCGGGTCTGTGTTGAAACACCGATGCAGCAAGGGCGGTCGGCGCAAAGCACAGGAGTAGCCTGAGACTATAGCGAACAATATCAGCTGAAACAGCCTTCCATTCTTCTTCGGCCCACCTCTCAGCTTTTAAAAGAAGTTTTGGTTTTAGTCTTTGAACTTTTCACACTTTGAGAAATTACAGCCTACAGTTCCCCCAAAGGCTTGTCGCAACTGTAGGCGTCGATTCTCGTAGTCTTGACGGAAATTATCTTTGCGGATGCTCGTTATCGGAAGCTTGTCTAGTGTTGTAAGGATTTAGCTTGTCAAGTCACGTCTGGTCAAATCTTCGCGACGTCAAGTTTTCTTTTTGATATTTTCTTGTTTTGGTGTGGTCTAATAAACTGAGCTGTTCTTGAGATTTTGTGTTCTTGTTGTCCTTATTTTAATCTTGCTAGACCCATAGTTTTAAGTTATGACGGCTTTCGACGCTCTGCAATAGAGCAGCACCGCTGTACAGAATTTGCCGGTTCTAGAGAATACCTTTGCAGCCGACTTCGTGTTGCAAAGTCCCAAGAACGAAGACAGGCTACTTCAATTTGAGTGAACATTTGTTGTCGCTTTTCTCGATTGGATGTCATTTTCTCCCTAATATTTTGCCATACCAAGTTATTTCAAGCTACTGCAAGGAGTTAAAGGCCGACGACCATACACGAGATTCTGCAAGGCAGAAGATCTTCCTCACCCTGGGGGAGGAGGAAACAGGCAACGGTGGATGGGTGGAAAGGGGGAGAGGAGGAAGCAGGGGAAAAGTGGAAAGCGCGAACTGGTCGTCAGTCTTTAAGGAAAGTTTTAAAAAATAAAAGTAGTTTTTGTTTAATATTGATGTGATTTCTGATACATTTGGAGAAATGACTTACGATTCTGCATTAATAACAGAACTACAATGACGGCTAAGCAAATATTCTTATAAATTCAGAAGCTCCATTTCAAAACGCACACTTTAATATATTTTGCGAAGTTTTGCATAAATTTGTTTGTTAGTAAAAAAATTGTGAATGTGTTTAAAAGACGTGGTTTTTTACTTGTTTCGTAATTTTTTGCTTGCAGCGATATATATTTGTTGTAATTTTTAATATTTGGCATGCATGTTGCCAATTGTTTATGAAATAAATGAAAAACGTTTTAATTACTTGCTTGCTTTGGTGTGACACTGGTGGCTGTGCAAATTACCATAGTGAAATCTCGGCATTAAGCACGCCTTGAGCTTCTTCATTTTAATTATCTGCGAAATATTTAACTACGGCGTTCACATATACCTAAATGTTCCTCCCAAGAACATGGTTTTCACATATATCTTTTTACAGAAATATCAAAAATATGACTCGGACAGTCACTGTACGATCTGACGTGGAAACACCCTGTGGTGTTGCGAACAGTTAATCACCAAAAGCTCATAATGAAATCGTTGCGAGAAAATATATCCCGTGAAAAAGTTTTTGCACACCCATGACTAATCCCACGATTCAAAAATATCAGAATCACAAAATCAAAAGCAATCGGCGCCTAATGAGGCGGGCACCAATCTGAAATTTTATTTGCATCTTGTTTTCAATTGATATTTGGATTACGTTTTGTTAACCCCTATCTATTCAGTACGTAAAGATCTTGATGAAAAAACAAAACTTTTCATTTCAGCAAAGATCTTTCTTTTGTGGCACACCACTTTGTATTGTACACTGAACGCATCTTTGATTTCAAGAAGGCTGACACTATTAAGAAACAAAAAAATCCCACAGCCTGTTAAGAGGTGTAGCCAATTGTACACAGCGCTTTCTAACATATGGTGAATCCCATCGAATGTCATTCGGAAACTCTTGTGCTACTAGTGTTCAACATATTTTTGATCTAGGGCTGAAGAGCAACTTAATGGGTCTCGTTTCATTTTTTTATTTATATGTTTATTTTTATTTTTATATCACGATTTCTCGCATACTTCAAGCTTTAGCGCCTCATTTCTGAACAGCACAAATAAAAAAAAATATCTGCACAAAAGAACTAATATGCTGCCTGATCCGCTTTCCTCTCTTTCTAAATGTGTTGTCGTTCCTTGCCACCTCTAGAAACATTTGCTACTTTTCGCCTTCTTACAAGTGATTGCAATAAAAACACTTCGACAACGTAAGCTGAATCGACCGAGCGATGATAAAAAAATTCCAGTGACCCCGTCCCGAGATGATAAGTTGAACTAGATTTGAAAAATAGCCTGCGGCCGAGAGCACGGCGACACTGTTATCTCACCCAGTCTGATAATGCGAGCACGCTTTAGCGTTTGAGGATATTACTCGCCCAGATATAAGCAAGTCCGCGCAAGAGGGCGGAAGCGAAGAACGCGAGTCAAAGGTACAATTCAGCGTGTCCTGGAACATAGAAAAGGGCATGCTCAACCACAGTGGCGCCGAACTCTCGTTCGCTCGCTCATTCGCGTGCTAGTTCAACTTCTCGACTCGGTCGTTTTAACTAACTCTGCCGAAAACTCTCCAGGCAGGTTGTTTTGATTCCGGAGACCTTGTTTGTTGTTTGTTTTGTTGGTGCTGTTGCTTTTTGTCTAGAACCCCGCGTTATAAAACGCCTGCCCTGCGCGAAGGAATCCACATCTACGTTTTGACTCTGTCTTTGGCATGCAAACTGTTGTACCGCATAGGTATTTTGTATAAGAAAAAGTGTACTGTCGTATACATGCCTCTAGGCTATTGTCAGGCGATACTATAAATTACCTATCTTCTAAGTCTACAGATGGATGGAGGCAAAGAGCCAAGCTTTGTCCGAGGGCAGCCGAGTCCCAGCAGGGAACTTTCCCCTCGATTCTCGAATTCTCACCACTCGTGCCCACGGGGCGTCGACGGGCGATCGTGACTGAGCGTGTGCGCTGCTGATCTGCGGAGCCACCAGCAGCGGCGGCAGCTGTGATAATGCGAAAGAGGTCGTGACGCCTCCACAAAGGGACTCGTCTGACACCGTAAGAAAATCGCCGCTGCCCAACGTTGTTGATTGCCAAGTAACATTTTACGTAACCGCTGTTTAATGGCCTCCCAAATGCAGCCCGGAGTGGTTGACAAGGCGGGTACGAGGCGGAGGGAGGCCATCAAGGTCGCCGCTATTCTCTGGATTGTCCCAAGATTGGGGTTCTGAGTCAGACTTTCCACTCACGCTCGGAGAAGTATGGTTGGCAGCCATCGGTACCGAGGTAGATAATCATAGCCCATAAACCGGATAACATTTTGTAAGGTCCGACGCGTGGCAGGGAAGATCTGCACTGAATAGGCCCATGACGGAGTTTAATGTCTCTTTGTCTGCAAGGTTTAATGTAACCGCGTGACGGTTAAGCTGCCAGCGGTTTCTATCTTTCAAGGACTTTGAACGCATGCTCTGCCTTGACGGTCCGTTTGGCTTATAAATGCGGTAATAGTCGGAACATAGGCGAGCTGGTGAAGACCTAGCTAACGTAATAACAGGGACGAAATGCAAAACGGCACTTTGTTTGTATTTGTGACACAAAGCCCCGGGTCCAGGGTGTACATCTGTTTTAAGATATCGAGTTCTTCCGGTTTCATGCATCGAATTTCAAAAGGCCCGCGTGTGATGATTCACATTAAGTGTTTTTAAAACCATGTTCAACTCCATCGGAACAAAGAAAAAAAAAGCGCCACTGCTTACTGGGGGGATCACGTGAGCTGCAGAACCTAGGTAGTTTGGGTTCAATCCTCACCGTTGAGCTGCACCATCTGAATAAATATTGTATAAGGTCGTGTTTAGCTGCTGCTTGATGCATGTTAAGAATTCCAGGCTAGCAGTCGCACTGCACTGGCTAAAGTTTGCATCCACAACAGAAACACCAGACGCCCATTGGGACTGACTAATTTTACCCTGTTTGAACAACCACACAACATAACTATACTGTCTACGAGCTAAACTAAGAGAGACAAGAAAGCATGTACCTAAGCGAGCCTTTCACTTTTACGTGCTTTTCCTAGGAAGTGGAATCTAGGGAGTGTCTCATTTTCACACTTAACAACTAAATTCCTGTTAAAAATGGCAGAGGGCACACGATAACGGCTTTATGAAAGAAAGCACCGGAGTACGCCCATATCTTTAGATTACTTGCGTCGTGAAGTATCACGCAGTTCTGGTGAGTTCGACCTCTCACCGATGGCCATATCAGAAAGAGGATAGTCCCCCGAAAGTGAGTTCAAAACGGTTAAGGACGATGGCAATTGAAAGCAGGCGTCGGTGGCGTGACAAGAAAAGCGTGGACGCGAAAATCCTGATTGGTCGATAGGGTCATCGCCACAAGACCTCACGCAAGAATTTCAAACGAACCACAACGCTCACGTGAAACGTGACGCCAAGCGCGGAATGAAAGTGATTTTAAGATATGACACGCAACGCTAATAAAGGTCGCCGCATGTCTCGAATGATTTCCCTTATAAAGTAATTCATTTGCCTTAAAGAAAAATTTGAACAAGTTTAAGCGGGCTTCTCACCCACGTCCTTTCGGTTACGAGCCATACATGCCATTGACTAGGCCACCGTGTCCGCCGCACTTCCTGCTCACTGGCAGGAAGAGCATGAGAAGCGAATGAAAAGGTGATGCGAACGGGGCCCGATAACGCTATCACGTTCCACTCTTAAAGGCGACGCTTAAGTGTCCTCCAAACTTGCTCGGGCAAAATAAAAAAATATTTTAGTTTTTTTCTTTTTTTCTTTTTTAGTTTTTTCTTCCCGTACAAATTTGTCTGTGTGCGTGTGTGAGGAGGGTTGGGGAGGAGGGGGGGGGGGGGTAAGCATCATTGGCCCAGGTAGAGCACAGCGATTTGCGAGTTGGAGAAAACCGCCTTTCATTATTATTATTTTTGTCACAAGTAAGCGTATGGTTAATGAATTCAATGCCTTCATTTCTCTCCAGAAGCCCTCTTGAGATTAATGTGCTGATAGGAATTCGAGTACTCAACGATGCGGAGGATGTCCTTAGTGTTAGCTGTTCAAACTTGTACGCGGCAAAAAGGGGCAGACAACAATAATGTTGCTGCCAGTGACTTCAAAATCTAGGTACTTCTAGGCTTAATTACCAGGAGCTTCCGCTCCCTGTCAATCGTGGTTAGGAACTGAATAATCCCACTGAATATATCTAACGCTCGTCAACAGTGCGGATCATAAGTTACAGGAAAGGGGGCTTGAGAGAGGCGAATGAATATCTAGGCAAGAGGCACGTCCAGGAGGAGAGTTCTAAGCGGCAGGAAAAGCCGGGCGTGTTTTGTCCCATGTCGTAGGAACGGTGCCCCCCCCCCCCCCCCTTTTTTTTTCTGATAGGTCAAAAACATTTTTTTTGACCCTTGCAGACAAAAGTGGGAAACGATAAAAAGTCGGAAATGCTGTCCCAGGATTTTAGGAAAAGATAACAATCGGTCGCGTTTTTACAGCTGGTAGCCAACAAATTCAGAACTACGTACAAATCCAAATACACAATGCTATTTTCTCTTTTACCGGCGAGATTATTTTTCTGCTTATTTGTATGTTCATCGCAGAACGTAGAACCCTAATAATGAACCATGGCTGCTTCTGGCACTGACACCGCAGGCATGATGCACTTCGGCGCCCGCCAAAGCAATCCCGGGAGGCACGCCATTCCAAGTCACTATGTTTGACCTTCAACGTAGCGGGCCCTAATCGAGGCTAGACCGAACAACGGTACCAATAGACCCCTAGTGGACGGCGCCATGACGGCAGCGGACGACGTCACAATGTCGTCGTCAATGGCGGCAGCGTGCGATAAGGTCGCCTACTCGCTCTGTGACGTCACTCGTCTTTCATTCAGGGAGAAAAGATTGAGGAGACGCCCGCGGAAGCGCCCCGGTCGTCGTAAAGCGACGTGACGTGCGGCAGTCAGGGACATTGCTCCGACCATTTAGTTTGCATCCCGCTTCTAGAGGAAGTTTCCGCCAGTTGACAATTACCGCCTCGGCGCTTTCCCGTTCCCGGCGATCAGCTCGCATTCTCGTAATGGGTACACACGTGTCCCGTTCTTCGTTTACGGCATCTACGAGGGTACTGCGTGAACTTTCCCGTGAGGGCCAGGCTGCACACAGACGGCGGCCAATCTTTGAGCATGGATACGGAGAAATATATGGTCGGGTTGAGGGAGCAATCGTCTGAACACCCCTCTCTCATTTCGTAAATTAATCGATTAATTTTTGTTTCTGCTTGTACTTCTAGACAGCTTTGATTCGTACGGAGCCTAATGCTTTAAGTTTAAATCATCGTCTGTACTGGCTGTTTTATTGAATCCCAATTACCTGGTTAAATGCGCGGATCAGATTGTAGGCCTGTTTCAAAACAGATCATGTTACTGTTAAAAGGCAGTTAGTATCTTGAAGATAAAGGCGGTGTTTACCTTGGGCTAGATAAAAGATTATGCTGTAATTGTGCGCCGTGTACCGACATTGAATAAAAACAATAACCCGTAAAAAATTTAAAAAGGAAGGAGGTGGACGCGAAAAAAACCCGCATGTATCGTACTTCCTTTCACCGTATACGATGTACTAAACGTCAAACCTACGCGCAGCAAGGTTCAATCAGGAGCGAGCTAGAAACCACATGATATATTGCTTCGTCAAACACCAGGTTCCTCTTTGGCTCGTGACTGGACCCGGACCGCCGCAGTTTTGAGCTTTACTTCATCATAGGGGGAAACGAAATATCGACCATTATAATCATAACCTAACTTCTGCGCGCTGCCATTTTTTGTCTAAAGGGTCATGGAACGCGTTCTGAGCATATGTACTAGCCCACTTCAGCGAAAATCGGGCGTGCCGCATACGTCCGCAGCTCAATGACTCGGCATTTTGTTTTACCTTAGGTATAAGCACTAGAAAGTTGTAATAGACGTATAGTGTCCGGATCGCGTCTTCTAGTGGTGTTTCTATCGTTCTATCACGCCCATGCTTCGAAAGTGGTCCCAAGTGGCAACAAATTACGTCACAAGATCCGGTGTGTTAAGCATGTTGTTGGATGTAGTAATCCTGGGCGATTGGTCATAGAAATTCGGGTGAAGAAGTGAGCGAACATATAGGTCGCTGTCGTCGCGGCGACCAAACAAGTGTCTGCTTTGGTTTTCATCGACTGCGTGGCATCAGAGCCACCTTCAGTGGAACAGGCGTCCGCCGAGTCGACCTATACATGCTGTGTCACCATCAGCATTCCGACAGGCAGCACTACGACAGCTCTATGACGTCCTCGGGCAAAAATCAAAATACGCACACTTTTGAAGGCGCGCTAAACACACCAGTCAGAGTAGCGCCCCAGGCACCATAATAAAAACAAAACGCACAGGCACTCACCATCTCGAGCATGTTGCTGGCTGGCGGCATGTTGGTTTCGTTGCCAGAGGCGATGAGATTCCGATAGTGGTTATGCAGCTTGAGAATGAACTGCTTCATGTTTTCCTCGATCCCGGTCACCTGAAGCTTGCATCCCGCTTCAGATTTACACAGCGTGTGGTTCTCGTGGTAGCGCAAATGGATATCACTGCAGTTCTGACTGCGCGCAGAAGGAAACTGCCAAAGGGCCACCGTAGCGACGATCGTCCACAGAAGCATCGGCGTCATAGTGATAGATACGTGTCTCTACCTGCGAAATAAAAGCATAGAAACGCCCTGAGTTCTGCGGACTTTGTTAGTCAAGTTGTAACGATTCACTGGTGCCGAGCGTGTTACAATTGCTTTCTACTATGTGTCGAGACGACCCCGATAGCTTATCTCGGCAAGATAATGGTATCTTTTTTTTCAGGCTACAGCAATATCGCGTAAAGCAAAACGCGCGTTTATATACCAACGTGTGTTGTCCCATACAGGCTGCGTATATTGTGACAAAAATAATTCCCTTTCTTTTTTTTATTTGCGGCTCTGCGGAAATTGCTTTCAACATTTCCGTGCAAGAGCGGTCAAGTGTTTCCTCTCCTCCCCCTCCCCCTCCCCCCCCCCCCCCTCTGCGAGACTCTTCGAACGTTACGTGTCATAGATGCGCATAAAATATTTCAACAAAAAACGTTCGAAGTTTTAAGATAGTTATTTACTGTTTGCATGATGTACCCATGTTATCCACGCCTCTGCGTCTTCCCGCCTCACATTTCAGAGAATTATTTTATTTTTGTTTTGTTCCCCTTTCACGGAGCAAAACAACACTCCCCAAGCATGTGATGTGTTGCCAGGCAAATAAGACACACAAAGGAACGCGGACAAAGGCTGCCTAGCAACGCCCACGACCTAATGATATGTCGAACACCGTCCCATCATCGAGGGGAAAAAGTACCACAAAGAACGAAAACCGCTTTTCCTTCTGAAGGGTGATCTTCTTGGGATATTGAGAAATCACCTCGGTTTTGCCTCTACTTGGAAATTCCAAGTTGACACCGCCGAGATTCATAAGAACCATGACAATTCCAACATTCGCGCCGAGTCATTCGAAGAAATGGTTTCTACAGTTTTCCCGCGGGTTGGTACCGTAAATCACAGAAAGTAAATGACGGCTGCGCTTTTCGTAGGGTATCAACGATCGCATTTACTACACATTACCCGCTTCATGGTCAATAAACGCCTTGTGCCGACTTTCGTCGAGGGGCGCGCCTAAAGACTCGTCTTAACTTACTTAGCCACCTGCTGAGGCTTAATAAAAAGACGAGCGTGGCGTTTTTTTGCGTTTCGACCTGATTTTGGTATGTACGCATTTTTGTCAGTGTATGCAACGTCACCTAAATTTTGGACTAAATTCTAGGCTCTTCAAGCCAAATCAGTCAGTTAGCAAAAAAAAAGGCCGTTTATCAGAGTAGATTTCTGATTGTTGTTGTTGTTTCAAAATGAAAAGAAACAAGAGTCACTTGCATCTTCACTTAGATTGCACGATGGCATATACTAAGAATAAGCTAGACAACTTTTAAATTTTTCAGAAGAACGGAAAGTGGAATTCTGCAACATTAGTCTACACAACTAGCGGAAGACAAATATAAAGAGCGGGAGAAATTCAGTCTAATAACACCTCAGAACACGCCACTAATAGATCGTTTATAAAATTGAGAAACTCTTTTATTCCTCCACTTTCGTGCTCCAAGAGCACTGGTAATAAAGTTCAAAGCTCAAACCTACCAAGTCCCTAATAACCTGGGAGAAAAATATAGAAATTATGTTTCTGCTCTGTTTTTGTTGCGCACGACCAAAATTTAATTTCGGCGTGCACTACGAAAAGTGTCACGGTTACCAATGTTTCAGTGATACGCCCCAAGCTTATTGTGAAATCTTTAGTGTAAATTTTCCCACACGTGCGACACTGAAAACAAGAGTGCTAAACTACAAGTTTGATGATTCTGCAAATAAACTCATTTTCCAGCCTCATTGAATTTATAACGTGCGCTAACAAACTTGCTGGTGAGAAATAAGAGCAAAGGCACCGAAAAATAAGTAAACTATATATATGTTGCATAAATCCGGAACCCCGCTTAAAAAATTCCGAGGACACCGTATCACATCTTATGAGTTGTGAATACGAAAGCATGAATGTCGTTGTTCTGCTCCCTTCGTTCGTTTACGGTGTATTGGCGTGGAAGACCACGTCCATCCCTTGTCCCTTCCTCATATTCAGCACCCTAAACAACACGCTCGTCCTTTACGTACTTACGTTTCGCTAATGCCGAGGTTGCGGCCGTCGGCGATATAGATGCCTCGGGCGCCACCATATAAACGACTGTGCCAATAGTGTTTAGAAGCTGCGTTTTAAGACGTTTTGTGAGCTGCGTTTTAAGACGTTTTGTGAGCTGCGTTTTAAGACATTTTATCTGTTGTCGCATTTTTCGTTCGCCGTCTCCGGTATTTCAAAAATGTTTAACATCAACCAACTCGCCTGCCTGCTCACTCTATCTTCAAAAGTAATTGATGTTTTCCTAAAGCCCGGATCATGCTGCTGATAAACACTTTCAAGCAGCTGTGCATGGGCGCCGCCATAACCGACCTTCAGATTTTGTTCAATGTTATTCCGTTCGCTTCACTTCATCATCACCAAAGCAGGAGAGGTTATTGTCATTTTAGGTGTTACTCCTTCGCCCCAGCATAGGCCTTTGAAGGCTCGTCAACGCCTGCTTATGTGGCTCGGCATCTCGGTAAGACTAGGGCCCTTTTATCCAGGAAAAAGTGGTGTCATTCATTGTTGTGGAAATACTCGAGACACGTGCCGCGAGCCGCTTCTAGGAAGAATATGGGACCTTAAATCTAGTTCAGTGCTGCGCTGTGTCGTCATGATCTTCCCAAGGGCTGCACGTTGCACGTGCCTCTTGCATTAAACACACCTTGCGCTATTTTTGAAACATGAAGGGGCTTTCGGCAAAACAAAAGAAAGTCGGCTACGGCGGCTCAGTCTGGCGCGTGCTCAAACACGAGTCACCGTGGGATCCGTGCTTTGAATGCCGCATGGCAATGATTTCGCGGAGAAACTTGGGCACGCGGTATTCGAACCACGGATATCGCGGTGGCTCGTGTTGGCTGACTGTCTCTTGTATGATGTGTCAACAGTGCGACCCCGGCGCATCCCCGGCGTCAGCGAGCTAATTCCTCCAGCACGTTGCATAACAGGTTGCTATTCAATGCTTAGCTGTAACTCAGATATTTCGCCATCGCTAATGGAAGAGAAGTCATCGAGCCCTATGTTGCACAACCGACTCCACCAGGTAAAGTTCGAGAGGTACTGAAGGTCAAGTTATCTTATGAAGAAAGCGCCCAATGCTCGCATTTTGATACCCTTAACACAAGCACACGTATCTACATCACATTAACACAAGCATCGTATCTAATGGAGACCATTTTCGCCCGTTTTCGGTTTCTGGTGCCATAGAGCCCCATGTGTTTGAAAACACCGTCGGCCGCCATTTTCCCATTGAAATTTTCAGAAAATCACATATAACTTTTGATTAGCTTATCGGATCCGGCTGAAACTTTGGCATCTGGTTGTGACCTCTAGCGCTACCTTTGGGCAAAGAATGAGCGTGCGGTGATGCCTAGTTTATTTTTGCGGTAAAAAAGACCGTGTAAATTTTCTTTTGTGACACCCTCTACATACCACGAAGAAACTGATGCAAAATCATTTTAAATATTCTATTTGAACCCTCCACTATTAAAAAGCACTATAAAATATTTTAGCGAAAGCCTTCATGATTGTTTATAAGCAAAAGATTGCTACTACATGTTTACCAAAAGACATACTTTTTTTTATTGTTTCTTAATAAGAATACCTATTTTAATTTTACACTATGCAAGGTACCAAAAGATACGTAGGACCCAATTGTGAAGATGCGTTATCAAGAGGAAAGAGTTAGCATAATTCATATTTACTTAATATTGAAAACGGTCTCCAAAAGATTTCCGCATTCGAAATACCTGAGAGACCCTACGAACTCAGTACATTAATCAGATCTGAAGAACTGTAACGTGATAAGCCTAGCATAGGACACCTAAATGCCACGGATAGCTGTCAAAATAAGGTAGCCCAAAGACACTCAACGTAGATGTTGCCATTTACCAGGCTAGGCAGGCCAGCCAAATCCTAAATTGCAGTCATGGCGGCTAGTGTTACTAGATTCACAAGCAAAACAGGGGTGGATATAAATATACAAGATTAAAAACGCCGGCAAGCTAGCAAATTAATTCTACACTTCAACGCGAAGTATTCAATTCTTGCTAAATTGTCTGGTTACGTCCGTTTCTTTTTTGTTTTGTTTTTTTTTTTCTTGCCAAGTCTCGGGCTGAAGTATGGAATATATCTAAAAATTTCCTCGTTTAATAAGCCGACAATATGACCGCAAGTATAAGCAAAGTGATGCACTGTGGTCACACCTCTGGCCTTTGTCTTACGGCTCTAAAAGAGTCAACTAGAACACGGTTAAGAATTGGGAGTTTTCTTAAAAGCCTGAGGAAGACAAGCGCTGCATTCGCGCCAGACTTGAAAAGAAACGAGCAAACTCGGTGGCCTACCTCTGAAACACGTTGCTGGTTCTACACAACGTCGCCGGCCAAGACGATGACACCCGACGTGGTCACACTCTCCCGGACGAGTTCCAGTGACCGGGTCGAGATCCCACCAGAAATACCTGGTCGAGTCGGGCGGAAAACGCTCTCTGAACCAGAAGCGCGCAAAGTGAGCAGCTCTTCATCGGCGAATGACGCCGCCAAACCAAGGTCGCTCTATGCAAAGAAAACCACTCCTCTCGTAACCGGCCTTTTGCGTTTTTCCCCTCGTCCTCCGAGCGGAAGCGAGCATGGTCACCAGCTCGTGATGAAGCTGCCACAGACGAAACGCGCCGCCGGGCCATGTGACGTTGGGGTGGTCTCCTCCCCCATTGATGAATGTGCGCGCGCGCAGGAAAACGCCAGACGTCTGTTGGATGGTACCACTTCCGCGTTTACGTCGATTTGGACATGCTCGATGCTGTAAGCTGATCGTGGTCATTGTGTAAGATGATGTAACCGGCCGCCCGACAAGGAGGCGTTGCTCGACTCTCGGTGGACAAGAATAAAGGTGCCGCCGCGCTTCGGGTGGCCCGAACCCAAGGAATGTTAATTGCGCGTGTGTAATGCCCGTAAACAAATCGTTATGGACGAGGAGGCGGACTTGGCAACATCCGAACAGGCTGAGCGGTACGGGAAGCGGATCCTCACCGGGCTCTAGCGGAAGCTTGGCGTGCCAGATGGGTCTGTAGTGCGCGGCGCTTGAAGCTGGGAATAGTCATCTTCAGTTTGTGGCAGTAATGATGTCTTATTAGCGGTGATTTGCTGATATCCCCTTGTAATTTGCGTGTTGGTCAACTATATGCGAATGGCCTTTACGGGAGGAAGTGGGAACCCGGTGAAGATGTGGAGACAAACTAGGCCTAACGGGAGCATTAGAAACCGGCGAGCTGGTGAATCGTTACGAACACACTTCTCACAGCAGCAGCGCAGAGGCGACGGACGAAATTAAACCTCTGTTGAAAGTTAATGATTTGTGTACGTATTTAAGTAGATATTTCGGCTCTAACTAACCCAAATTACTACCCGATTATGACAAACGAAACCATTATAAACCTTTATGACATCGTTTAATTGTTTTAGTTTAATTTTCTTCCGTTTCTGATCTTCATCATCGATAAACACGCACACAACAAGTTTGTAGTTCCAGGCATGCATAGAAAGACGCGAAGTGAAAAAAAAAACCTAGCGCAACAATTATACGAGAAGCAAACTATGAATTAAGTTACCTGACTGATAAACTTTTATATTTTCAAGAAACTTCACGCATCTGGGTGAACGGTTGTTAGAAGCTAGGGGATTGTTAGCGAAGTTCCCAGTGTCTATCTCATGCCACCCTAAAAGTGCCAATCAGTAGAAAACAAAACGCCACCAAGTCTTGTATTGCAGCGGATCCAAACCTGTGATATATCACAGGTTCTAACCCGCTGCAGTACAAAACTTGGTGAAGCAAAACTGGTACACTGAGATCTAACCGAGTCGATCCACGTAGATGACATGTGGACAAATTCCTGAACACAATATAAAATTATAACTTGCCTCATTTTATTTCAAAGGTCTATCATTTGCCACGTTCGTGAATTAGTTTCACTAATTTAGACGACTGACGGCAACACTAAGGTCACACTATTCACAAGTGAAACTTATGCACGACATATCATAGCCCGGAAGTGGTGCAGTGGGATGCGTAAATAAGCGGCATACAGTTGCACGGAGGAACGGCGTGTGCAAGTCGAGATCTAGTATCACGATCACGTGGGGCGTTCTAAAAATGTAGACAGAAAAAGTTTACCCACATTATTGGAATTCCAGCGCTTGAACCGGCACTGCACAAAACTTGCGTGACATGGCAATGACTTCGACGTGACATCCCATAGTGAAAACAATCAGTGGTTAAACACACCGAAAATACGAACGGAAACATGTCAGAACCCTCGCACGGCGTGAAAAATTGGGTTTTACTTTTTTCAGGAACAAACGAAAATAGTTTACTATTGTTTTTGTTTCGAAAATTAGCTGAAAGAACATTCTCACATAAACAAATGCAAAGTGTGCATTGACGGGACTCAGACCCGACAAACGTATAAGGTACTTTTACACTGAGAAGGGCGCAAAAATACCCAAATCATTTAAATATAGTTATACCACTTAAATGTCTGATCGCCTCTGAGTGTTTTAATGTTTGATTAGTACGTAACTGGAGGCACGTACGTATATAGGCTTGTGTGCGGCCGTCCTTAAGTATGTCTTCTTTCTAGTAGCTAGTCCAGCGTGAAACATACGAATAACTACAGCACTAGCGAGTCCTGTGCAAAGACATTCAAGAGAAAATTATAGTGCATACTTAGTTACTCTCAATCATTGGATTGCTACTTTATTGCCTTCTTTCAGGCTTCCGGATGCGCATTCTGAAAACGGAAGACGCCGCCGGCATAGCTTGCTTCGTCGCCAGAAAGCAAAACACTGCCTCCGAGTACAAACTGAAACCTGTACGAGATATTGCCGCCGTGGTCCGCTTAGCGAATCGTAAACTAATGAGTGGGTTAAACGTGAAAGCCATAACACTCACATAGAGCCCATAGTCGGTGATAGGTTGAGACCTCAGTGTGAAGTACCTTACACGCCATCGGCGCGAGCTTCTGGCCTTTGATAGCACTTCGTCGCGCGCGCAGCCTAAGCCCAGCAGAAGGCAAGGAACGCGTGCTGGAGGCGGAGCGACTACTGGGTTCTTAACCTGCCACCAACTATAAGCACCACAGCTGTCAACGGCGAAATCTCAACTTTTATCTCGGCTTAACAGATTGACAAGGATCTCAAACATCGGCTCACATCCAGTAAAGCGCCGTTCACACACTAGCAACCGAGTAGGATCGAGAGAGAAAGGACCGGTTCTTAAGCCCCATGCGACGGTACAGGACCGGACGCGTTGCTGCGGAGCAGGTCCTACGTCGTCGCAAAAGGCTTAAAAACCGGTCTTTTCTATCTCTGTCCTACTCGGTTGCAGGTGTGTAAACGGCACTCAACAAGCATGACCTATGACAACAGTAAGTCACCTTGTATCCAGGAATCTGATCCTGAAGACTCCTCCGCCCCCGACAAGATCTAACAGACTGGAGCGTGCTTGCACTGGTAGGCATCTGAGGTTAGCGAGCTCGGAGATCCCGTAGAGACCGAGGGTAAAATTTATTCGGCTCTTAGCTGCATCGACAGAAGCAACTTGCCGAAGGGCGACGAGATGAATGCATGAATAATTTAGCGTACGTTTGCATGCTGAACTGGCATGCCTGGAGGGTCATCACCTTCTAGCTTGAGATAAAAGAGACGTATTTATCCTATGATGCTCGATGACAAACGCCAAATTAATCAATCCATCGACTTCCTGTTTATACAGAAAGCAAAAGAGATGGCATGCAAATCCCAAATACGTGTTAAATTTGATTGATTGCTGTAGAATGTTTGATCTCTCTGACGTATAATTCTGTCTACAATCGGACATATTGGACGGTGGATAGACGTAACCATTACATCATTTCGATTTGAGTAAATGTTCGTAGTGATTGATCTTTTGAAAAATACAACTTTCTCGCGCAAAAAAAAATAAAACTGTACCCGGCGTGAACAATTTTGCGCTACGTTGTCCAAGCTAGCCTAGCTTCTACAGTGCTCCGACTCTGTGAAAGCTAGTTGCGCGAGCGCTAGCAAATAGGCGCAAAAGACAGAGCCACGAGTTCTCGCAGCAGTGCAGAACTGCTGCACAGTCAAAGCTACGGTAGCTTTGACAATGTAGCACAAAATAGTTGACGCAGAGCATAGACGATTGCAAGCAAGGCCACTGGCCACCGCCATGTCTCTGCTCGTGAGGACAAGCCCATGCAATTTCAAGCTTGCCAAAGCTATGTTCACGCGCAAGCTGCACGTGCTTGCATTCAGTCGGGACGCCATGCTTCCAGTTGTCTCTAGTTGACCAAAAGCAAAACAATGTGTACAAATTTATAATTATATTTCGTCCTGCTGAAAACATGTCATTAGTTTACGGTGTTCAGAGTCGTTCAGCTAGGTATGTACACAACCATGGGTGGTAATTTCTTTAAGCAGAATTATAATGTTAGTCGTGCTTCCTCCTCTCATCATGATCGTGATGTACCTATCACTGCGCATTTTTATATAATGGGTCGTAAAGACAAATCAGGGCTTGTTCTGATTTGATCTGGCAACCCGGCTAAGTGAAGCTGACCGGACATATTCCGCTTCTGCGGCCACGCCATTCGACGGCGGACAATCGCATAATAAACAATTCGCGACTTGCTCAAAAATTGACGGAAATACGACTGGAGGGCGGCAATGCTGAAATCGCTTCGCACTGGAAAATGGTCCAAGCAAATCATTGCAAGGTATGCTACAAAAAAACACAAGTTCGCGGCATTGCCACCAAGATGTTCAGAGACTCTGTCAGCCAAGGGGACATTACGGCAGACCGAGCAAAGCACAGACGACGGTCGAATAGCAAAAGAAATTAAAAATTCGTCTGCGAATCAAAGCAAAATAATTAACAGGATCATGGGCGCAGCAAGAACGACCTCCACAATGAAATGGGAGTGGCAAGGTCGACAATCAGTTTGGCACTGCACTAAGACCGGCAGAACACGTCCTTTTAGCTTATGATTTGCCAAGTCCTCACTAAGAAAAACAAGAAAGCCCGACAGCGCCGGCTTTCTGCGGTTCTTTCCAGGCGAGAAAAACTTCATCCAGACAGAAAGCTGAATCGGCAGAATGGCTGATGGATCTGCCGGAATGCCTCTGACGTGTCTAGAGTCATGGACACCAAACAATTCATCTCTGTGATGGTGCTGGCTGTCGCGAGCAACCAGGGATACATCATGGCACCCCACATCTTCGAAAGTTGTCTGAGGGTGAACTTTGAGAGCTACGTCGAAGTGCTAGAGAGGGTTGTAAAGCCCTGGATGGACCAGGTGACCGCTGGAAGGGTGATTCAGCAGGACTCTGCTTCAGCTCACAAGGCAAAGAAGAGGCCTGGCTCTACGATCACATGCCCTACCGTAGGCCCCTGATTTCTGGCCTCCCTCGAATCCAGACTGCAATCCTCTCGACTACTCTGTGTGGGGCGTGGTCGAGGCAAAGGTGAATGCCACGATTCACAACACCAAAGATGTCCTGAAGGCCTCAATAATACCGGTGATGACACATGAACAAGACGGAAACGAAGCC